GGCGCGCGCGCGCCGCTTCTCCCCCTCCCTCCTAGGCTTGAGAGCCTGGGGGGGAGGAGGCAGGGCTGGGGATTTGGGGATGGGACGGAGCTGAGGCGGGGCCGGGGGTGGGGTAAGAGAAAAACTGGGGCGGGGGGGCGGGGGCGGCCAAAATTGTTTCTGCTTGGGGCGGCAAAAATCCTAGAGTCGGCCCTGGCCTGATCCTGCAATTGCTGAATTCCAGGAGCACTGGTGTCATCCTCTGCCTTCCCTAAAGTGCCCAGCTCCTTGCAGGATCATGCCGTTATTACTTTAGCCCTCTAAAACAATAAAGACAATGGATCAGGCTTGTAGGGAACTCAGACGTAGTGCAACTCTCTTTATAGTGAAGTAGAATTATGACGACTTGTTTAGAATACCCTGTCAGTGTATTGGGCTGTTACTGCACAGACACCATGAGTTCTCCTTTCTGTGGGCTTCCGCCTAGGAGGATGACATGGTGTGCTACAGTTGGTGACCTGTGCTAAACAAGTAACAAAGTCCTTGCCCCTGAGAGCTTACAGTATGAGGGTACAAGCTGGTACAGTGGAAAGAGAACAAGTACAGAGCATTATGTGTTGTCTGTATTACAAAATTGGAACCCTGCTTCAGATTTCAAAGACTCCCCCCGCCCCCCTTGCAGACTTGGGTCTGTTTGGATGTTGGACTTTGATCTGGGCCCATCTCTATTACATGTGGGTATCCAGTAGGCTTTTGTGAAGGAGGAGGGAGAAGGGGCTTTGTGTATATTAAAGTCCTGACTGCTTTCATTGAATTCCAATGTGCATATACTATCTATTAGAGCAGCCCTCCATTTAGACCAATGGTCCCCAAACTTTTGAGGGTTGCACCCATGTCCATGCCCCCCTCCCAGGGCCGGGAGCATGAACATGGCACGGGGGGCCAGGGGAAGGGGACACACAGGAGTAAGAGGGCTGAGGCTGGGGCCACAGCTGGGGGTGGGTCTGGAGCCGGGAGCAGGGCCAGGGATAGAGCCATGGCGAGGGCGAGAGCAGAGGTGCAGCCAGGCATGGAGGTGGGCGGCAGCCAGGTGTGACTCCACTCTCTCCCACAGCCTCAATCTTGGCTCTGGGCCAGGAACAGAGCCACAACCAGAGGCTGGTGGCAGGGGGTGGGACAGGGAATGGATAGGGTTGCCAACCGTCCAGGATTGGCCTGGAGTCTCCTGGAAATGGCATCAATCTCCTGGTGAGTATTGAAAGCAATCTGGGGGGCTTTAATAGGATATTTTAAGAAAATGACATTACATCATGTTGGGGGGAAAAATCTCCTGAAATAGCTTCAGTCAGAGTTGGCAACCCTAGGAATGGAGCCACCACCGGGCTGTGGTGGGGGACAGCAGCCAGGCCCCTGTCTGGGTGTGGAGCCACACTGGGGCTGGGAGCTGGGGCCATGGCTGGCAGCGGGGACGGAGCAGAGCTGGGGGTTGGGTGGGGCTTGGGTTGCGCTTTCTCCTCTCCCTCCATGAGGGCTGTCCTGGGCCCCGCTGTGCCCCCCCCCCAAACATTCCTCTGCACCCACCTATGGGGGTGGGCCACACAGTTTGAGGATTTCTGACTTGGACTAAAGGATGATCTTGTGACTAAGGTACAAGACGGGAGGTCAAAGAGCTGGATTCTCTTCCTAGCTCTGCTGTTGACTTGCTGGGTGACCTTCAATTAAATTGCTCTGTGCCTCAGCTTGCTTAGCTCTGAAATGTAATACCTGTGTCACAAGGGTGTTGTGAAGCAAGATGGGGTTGCAGTGTCCCTTGGGCTTGGCCACGCCCCCCTGACTGGACCAAATTTGTGTGAGTGGAGTTGTGACCTGTCTCATTGCAATGCCATTCACTCAAATTTGGCCTACCCAGACTGTCATGATGGCTGGGCCAAACTTGAGTGGTGCTGGGACCCTAGATGTTGCAGTGCCTGGAACAGGGAGCCAAGTCCAGCCAGCCCTGTGGGACAGGAGCTGCCACATGACCCTTTGAAACATTCTGGTAACCCAATTTTGGGTCCTGACCCACGGGTTGGGTAACCTGGCCTTAGAACTTAGGCCAGGTTTGCCCAGAAGCTCATGTACGAGGATGGGGATTCCCTTTAAACCCAGTGCAGCCTGTGCCACCTTTCGTCACCTGCGTTCGAGGGCCAGCAGCAGAGTGGCTAGAGCAGGAGCTTGATTATTTCCACATCACTGCTGCAGAACAAGAGCTGGGCAGCCTGCCAGGTCCCCAGAAGATCCAGACCAGTGGAGAGTGGGCCATTTCCATCCCTATCCTTACAGCTAAAGGAAAAGAGGTGGAACAATGGGACTGCCAGCAACCCCCGTAAGAGCTGAAAGGGGCGACAGCTAGCTAATCAGCCATCTCCCCACCCTGAAGACGTCAGGAAGAATGGACCAGGTAGACGGCCACTGGCCCACCTGCATACAACTGTTAGACATAACAGAGAGCTCAGGGTCTCTTGTGACGAAGTGATTAGTGGAAGGGCGGGGCAAGATGCCAAGCAACAGAGAAAGAAGCCCAACACCAGGCAAAAACCCACCTGATGGCAGGCGCAGTCACGAACTTGGCTTGTCAAATTCTAATGAGTTTAGAACTCAAAAATGATACCCCCATCTAAGCGTATTTTGAGTTCTTTACAGAAAGCTCTCACAATCCTAGTCACTACTCAGTTAATGGAATTGGGGCAGGATTCTCACTTCTGCATAAAGCACCATGGGATTTTTAACATTGTTTTCTCATGACTGGGACGTCTGTTAAATATCCCAACTGAGAGAAAGCCCCTACCCTCAGCCACCAAGCCCTCCCATCCCCCCAGCCCACAAAAACACAATGCTGAAGCATCAGTGAAGTACTGACTGTGCTGGAAGAGATGCTGCCTACACATTCACTATCAGCACGTCCTGCAGCACCTTCATGATCCTGGAAGGCTCCCATCAAAATTCTGAGCCAGTGTGATCCTGCCTACTTTGGGATCTGACAACAGAGCAGTTTGAAGTGGTGTGGCTGTTGGCATGGGGATTTGTTAGCACCGAGGGTGACCCACATGGATACTACAAGATCCAGAGAATCCTTGAGGCCAAGAAGTTGCCAGCTGCAGACAGCATAAGCTGAGGAGTGGTTCTAAAGGAGTGTAAGTCAGAGGAACTTTTAACAAAATATTGTTTCCTGTCCAAGTTGCCTTGATTCCAGAGAGATTCCCCGTGGACTGTAATGTGTCAGAAAAATGTTATTATTGAAGAAGGAGCCATATGGACTGTACCAGGAAAGTGTAGACCAGTCAGTTGACATCAAAGTAAGAAACAGACAAGCACTTGCAGAAATGTAAATAAAAGTTGATTAGAGGGTAGTGCCCATGAAATATTAAGTTAGACAAGAAAACCTCCATTACCGTGACACAACCACGAGACCTTTCTGCTGAAGATCACAAAAATGTGTTTCCCCTAAAACACTGAACCAAGATGGCACAGTCTTGCACAAGGTTGCAAGATTGCGCAGATGCTGCTGGCATAAGAGTTATTAGCTGGGTACAATGGTGTGAGCTGAGACACAGTAAAATTGTCCCCAGTTCCGATGCCCCTCTACCAGATGGGCATTCCATAACTCCTTCTTTGCTTTTGTGAGTATTTCATCTAGCTTAATGTGGGGATTGTGGCATTAGTAAGTTCTGTATAACCTCTTTGTTCTGAAAGAGTCATGTTGCAAGGTAAAGGACTTGTCTGTGTGTTAGCTTAGCAATCAGCTTCCTTATTCTCCCTCACACATAATCAGGCCTGGGACCTTTTAGGCTGGGATTTTTAGACCCCTTTGAAAAGGCTAGCCTTAGCACTTATTAACATTTTTAAAGTGAATTAGTGTATGAATTCAGTGCTAGTGAAAGGTTCTGAATGGATGTCTGTGGAAACCAAAGTCCTACAGAGCATGAGGCTCCCCATGGTGCCCCACCAGCAGCAGAGGAAAGAGATTATTTTACTGATTCCATTAAGAAATGATTGCATAGGGTTCTGCCCTTAAATGTTCACAGGGAAAACCAGCGTAAGGCTGTGCACCCCACCAGAGAGTAAATGGCAGTTCCTCTCCTGCTAAAACAGTGTTATAATCAGAATTGCCTGGTGCGCTAAGAACTGGACTTGGAGCTCCCAGCACTGACTCCTGATGGAGCCTTGAACAAGTAACTTAAACTCTATCAGTTTCCCTACCTGTAAAATGAGAGATAATACTGACCTATCTCACAGGGAGTTGATGATTGTTTAGCTAATAGTCATAAGTCTCTGAAGATAAACGTACTATATAAAAGGTAAGAATTCACAACATTATTATTATAACACAGCGTATATGGTTCTTATCACCTTGAATCTTGCTTAAGGTTACATTGTACTAAAAGGTGTATATATAGTTATAGACTACATTG